GTTGGAAATTAGCTGTTGTCATAAATAAAAAAATAAAAAAAATAGTGCTGCACCCTGTTGGTAATCCTTGTAACTTTTATGCTATTGAACATCATAGAACAGAACCAACTTGTTTAATTGAAACAGCTGTTAAGATTCATTAATTACTTTTAAATATGAAAAACCATAAGGTTAACATTGGGAACTACAGAGCCACTGGGGCGGAGCCCGAAAGGATTTTTGGGATAATAATATGCTTTAATGTTAATCGGGAATGTGAGAATGTGATCATCATGTCAAATTTCAGCCCAATCCGTCCAGTAGTTTATGCGTGATTGAGCAACACACACACACACACACACACAAACTCACAAACTTTCAGACTTATAATATTAGTAAGATACGTCCGTGAACGCGATAACTTGAGTAATTGTTGTCCGATTTTTATGAAATTGGTTTAAAGGTGTAAAGCGGGATAAACTTAAATGAGTTTGCGAACCAGCATGATCGGACCATAAGAACGGGGCTTTACGGGGGGTTTTATGGGGTAAAAATTGGGTTTTCTCACTTTTGACCCAAAAAACACAAAATATCCCAATTTCTCTTTAGACCTTTTTAAAAAGCTTAAAAAACAAATAATTTAGTAAAATTTTTACACATTTTAGAATGTAAACTGGATTTTGGTATTCCATCAATTTAAGTGCATTACTTAGACTACCGCATTACAGAGCTTGCGATTGTTCTGGTGCTTTGTTGTGCTGAAGGAAATGTTTGTTATGTACAATTTGACAGCAATATCTATCTTGCCTTGTTCATCTGCTGCTCTGCTGTTATAATGGTGGGAACTATCATGTGGCTTTGACTGTGTCACATTCGCAACATTGGTATAATGAATGTTTTTCAATAACCATAGTTTATCGAATGGTAATTTTAATAACGTCCAAAGTCAGGTTTACTTGAACTTACATAAATCTCATGAATGTTTAATGTGGTACGTTTACGTTTTTCGTTTTAATGCATATTTTGCTTAGCAGTATATTTTGTAGTAATGCTGGTATAGTTGTGCGTTTAAAGATAGTTTATTACGGTATGAGAGCCATATTTATCTGTTCTAAAGCCACTTACGACATGTATGAAGGTAAAACTTTACATCATGAACTCTTTACAGACCTAATGAACTTAATTGACAGCGTTAACAAATATAATTTGTGCCGTAATTCGAACTACTAATTGATGTCAGCAAATTGATACAGATTTGTGTACAATTATATTAGGACCTCAGTAAGAAGTAAATGTTTGCTGAGATGTAAGATCAATATTATGAGAACCATAACGTTATCGCAACCAATGTTATAAATTGCAGCCAATTGGAATTATGGACTAGTGGGTGTGAGTGCAACAGGTGAAAATTAGCTTATAAAGTAGTACCAGGGGACCGAACATATTTCCATGATTAGGATGTCAATTTCTTTGGTAATGTATTTCTAGCAATTAGCTACTATGTTTTAAAAATTATATTTTAGAATTGGACACTATATTTTTCGTTCATACTGACATTAATACCTAGTTACAACGGTGCTTTCAACGGGAATTTTCAGCCCAAGTTAACAAAGTTAACAAGGGTTTCCAAAATGTACAAGAGCATAAATAAAAATAATGTAAAAATTATTAAACTTGACAAAAATGTTTACAAACCACATTCATAGTATTATAGATGATTTGTGATAAGCATTATGTTACTGTGTGGATACCTATAAGCGTGTGTTAATTTCTTGGATACCTGGTTTTCTATACGATCAATGTTTAAAATATTATGATTTCATTTTAAGTTTGGCAAATTTGGAATTTTTCCAGAACAGTGGCTAGCATGGATTTTTTAGAATGTAACTAAGATATTCCTAACAGTTTAGAGGAAGCCGTCTTCAAAATCAATGTGTGCAAACTTAACTCGTATTATAGGATAGATTACTACTACGTATCACCATAAGGTAGTTACGAACCAGAGATGAGACGATACTCAGGATGAATCATCAGATTTTCAATTGATCAGTTTTATGTCAAGTTGGAGATGAATTATAACAAGAAATGTGAGTTTTTAGATAAATTGTAAAAAGAATTGCAACTGGGTGTCAAACAAGTTGTTTCATGAAGAATTTTGGTGTGGTAGGACTCAATGATTATTTATTTTCCAACCTGTTAATATAAACTACAGATATATAAAAACGGTTTAGGTTTAATTTCTCTTTTAAGATACCTTAATTTTTAGCATATCTCTATATAAATGGCTTAAAAATGTCAAACCACATAAAAGTAAAATGAAATTTTAAAACGCCGCATTTATACTATCTATTTAGCATTTTATTATCATACAAAGGCCTTGCCTGAAAAACAATGTAAATTTTAATTTATTGTATGAGTAAATGTTTATGAATGTTGATACTGTATAATCTTTTATGTATATTTACAGCCTTGTGAGTATAAGCGTAAATATATGTTTTAAATGTTATTAGACGTATCTTTTATTTACTTTCCATAAATGTTTATGCTATTAACATTGACTAAAGCATCAAAGTATCAATTTCAAAAGTGCGACCTAACATGGAAATTGGCCTGTTCTTTCAAGCGCGTAGAAGTGAACTCGGGTTTGTGATTGAATCCATTTTAAACTATTAACACACACACACGACCTGAATACACATGCATGTGAAAAACATCTATTTGACCTTTTTCCCTTGTAAAACTACCTAATTACATCCACCTTAAATTTAATCAACTTAACAACGGATATTTAATACGGCTATATATTCAACTGTACTAAGTATTTTTGAATATAATTTAAGATTCCAATATAGGTTATACTCTGTTAAAATAAATTAAAATGCATTCTATAAATGAAATTGATTTGTTTATATGTTTTTGTTATTGTGTAAAAAGCATAAGTTGACTTACTTCTGATGGCGAAAAACTAACAAATCATAACAAAAGCCATCCTTCATTGTGTCATATCGAAAAATTAAAATATGGGAAAGTGATATTAAAATATGTACTGATTATAGATTTAAAAGATTTGCAATTTTTTGAGTTATATGTAACTAACAAATAAATATGTAACTGACGTTGCTCTGTTTAGCATTCATCTTTCTTTATTGCAGTCCGCAATGAATTCAACTTTAAAGGGGGCCCTACCTTGACCAAGAACTTAATTACGTTGTTCATAGGCTAGATTCTTAAAGGTGATTGCAACGGTAATGTACTGCAAACCTTTATCCGTTGCGTGAGATGGAAAGGAGTCAGAAGTATCCTCAAAATGGTTGCTGGCCAGATTCGCTGGACACACTAGTCTGTCTGATGTTGTCCAGTCCCGAATCGTTGAACGCTGTTTCTGCGTTGGCCAGGAGGGTGCTAAAAAAGGAAGAGAACCGAACAGACAGTGATGCCAAAGTGTAGCTGAACCCGGTGGAACATCTCCGGCGTATGAAGATACCCCTTGAAGTACTGCTAGCCGCGTTTCAGAGAGGGTTTCCATTGCCTGGACCTATAGATTTTAGTGGGTGTTTAATTGATTGATTAATTCATTTATTTGTTAAAGCTACACTCCAGGTTAATTAAACACTTTAGACTCCGACGGTGTATAAGGCATTTCCCTACCCTAAAATATTAGTCATTGCAATAACTAACTTAGTTGGTGTTAATGTAACTGTTAATTGTGGTTTCATTCTGGGTTATTCTGTAATGCTGCAACAACTCTGATTGGAATGCATTAATAACTGTATTTTTGTTTCATAGATTCCTGAAGAATAAATGAGAATGATCAACAATTATGGATCAGGCGATTGATAATTTTAGTTGCAAAATTTTCCAACTCAATTGAGGCATAGTCAGAGAATATTGATCCTAACGCCTAAGATAATGCACCGATTTACTTTTTTTACGTCCCTAGGGGGGGGGGGGATATTCATCGTTATGAGTTATATATAATTTTAAATATGTGGATCAGTAAACTAAGCACGCTAAACTAAAAAATGCCACCGCCACAGCAAACCTGCAGACTAAACGAATTTCCATTTAACTGATTGGATTTACACTAAAATGACTCCTTAAAAATATCACATTTATTCCCTATTTAAATAGCATTAGCTTAACGAGTACTCAGGTTTGCTGTAACAGGGAGGGTAAAAAGGTGTTTTTTTTTTAAATATTTTAATAGTTTAGTATGAAATTAATGCATTTTCCAAATTTGATCAAAATATGATCCAAAATATAAACAAGCAAACTACAACAGTTTACTTATTCTCCATAAGAATAACATAGGAACTTTAAATCAACAGTTTTTTGAAATTTTCTTCGTAACCATTAGGCGCATAATAACGCTTCATTATACTAAATTACAGTATTTGTTTTTTAAGCTCTACAAAATGGTGTGGAAAGAAAATGCTAAATTTTAAGTTTTTAGGGTCAAAAATGGGAAAAACCAATTTTTGCCCCATAAAACCCCCCATGAACCCCTGTTCCTACATTTCGATCATGCTGGTTCGCGAACTTGTTCGAATAAACGTAGGTTTACATGTTTGTACCAAGTTTCATCAAAATCGGATGATTTTTGCTCGAGTTATCGCGCTAACGGACACATATATAAAAAAATGTATATATGAATTTGAACGGATGGCGTTTTTGGTCTCTAGGGACCTCAAAACGAAAAGTAAATTGGTCCCGGGTCCAGGTCTCACTATAAGTACTACGGTAATAGCATATTTCCTATAGGGGAAATTCGCTAAAAGAACCAAATTATGATATAGACCCTAGCGTAAGGCAAGAAAGATTTTAGCGTGTTCTTCTACATGTCCACACGCTAAAAAACTGCAGCCAACTTGTTAATAAAAACAAATAATCGGCAACAACAATGAAACATCTGATCGTAGTAAACACGACGCAGGGTTATCACCTGATTGGTTACATCACTAGGCTCTTATCTTTCAATTGAGAACTCCTTAGTATCAAGAAAGCATTCACGTTATTAAAACACTACTCCGCCTTTGTTAAAATGTGGATCAACTTTGTTGCTGTGAAATAGCTTTAATTTATCGTGCGTTGGTGAATTACTATGGTTTTATTTAACCTGACATGTATTAGTGTTAACAGTGATTAACTTGGAACTAGTTTATGAATCATCAGCTTCTCAATATGTACGTACTTACAACGTATTTTACATCTAGTGTTTACTGATATATACCTTATAATGATAATTAATAATAATAATCTAGTATGCTAACATTTCCTTTTCCTAAGCGTTAAGTAGTCTCAAAGATTGATTTTAAACAACAACAATTCTTTACATCTAGTGTATTTTAACATTATGGTTAACCTTTCAGAAGTATCTTAGTGAACATTCTGAGTGAAATTTTTCCTTTTAACTAAATTCATCCAAACTGCACATCCTTCTGCCAAATAAATTGACTCACGTTACACATTCAAACAGTAGGAACCGCCAAATCAATCATTATCTATTTCATAGATAATTTACCGAAGGGTCATACGTATATGCAACATGTTTTTATCATTTACCCCACAAGAATCCTTTATAAGCAACTGTATATCTAAGAACTAATTAGCCGTTTGCAAACATTGCAGTGTGTTGCACTCGCCATCAAAAGGAGCTGCATTCCACTATCATAACCTCAAAACGTGATCATCTACTTGAACGTGCTCTTTACTTAAGAGTTTAAATAAAGAAAATAAACGATGGACCGTAATTTCATTGGTAAATATACGTACACTACTTTTAGGTTTATTACATACATTTATACAGTACTTATAAATTAGTAACAAAATAAATAAATATTGTTAAATTCAATATCACCATTTTAGCGACAGATTATGTCATGGTTTTTACTGCCTCAGTTGTTGTGTCAAAGAAATTAAAATAAAGTAGAAAGAATTTTCTTATAAAACAGTGAAGGTTGTAATAATTTATTTTCTGAGCACCACTTTGTACAAATTCTAACGTAAAGCACGGGAAATATTAACCTTGATGTTTACTTCCACCAAATGATTAATTCGATTGGGTTTTCTTTAGCAATATAATGCAAAGTTTACACACGTATCCATGTAAGACGCACTTTTCTTGCCTTGTATTAAATAGTGACCTCCAAATCCCAAACAGCCGAAAACATTCATTCCAGAACGATTTCATATAACCTAATATTGACTGACCATGTGACTGGAATCAAAAACTCAAACCTGCAGCCTCAAAATTTAGAGACAAAACAGACGAGCACCTTAATGACTCAGCTACACAGTCAGGAGGTCTATTTGTTTTAGCAAAATTACCAATCTTCACTGTACTAGATTACCAGACCATTATTGCTATTGCCATTAATATTATTTTCATTATTGGAATCGCCTAGCTCAAACAGTGTAACAGGTAACTTAAAGTGGATGTTCCTAAACAATTTTAACGGACTGTATAAGTAAGCAGTAGTCGTACTAATTTAAAAGTATTACGATTGATTTTTTATTAGCATTGCGGTTTTGGCTTATTCTCGAAAAAATAAGGTTTATAACTCTATAAAATAGCTGACAAAATAGTTTGTTTGAGAGTTAAACAACTTATACGTAAAACCACTTAAAGACATGCTTCTTTAGGTCTTCATTCATATTTTACACTGTTAGGTATACTTCTACAAACAAATGTCAAAACGATAATAAAACTTAATAAACTTTGAACAACTATCTTGCCTCCTTAAGGCATTAAACCATAGATTTAATAATGTGTTAGTTATAATTTATATATTTTATGTTAATCTAACAATTAAATAAACATTAAATAGTTTTCGTTATGGAATATTAAAATATTATAATTCATAATATACATAATCATTGTAACAACTGTGTTTTTATATTTTTCAAAAAAGGTTGTTTGTGGTGTAAGCGGAGAATGACTTGGATGCCGTAGAACAAAAAGTCTAATACTTTTGCTCGTTTACTCCAGAGAGTTGATTTGTGGGATGTAATGAAAAGCTCTTGAGTTATAAAACCCTAGGATCATTAATGTTCTCTTGTCTCATTAAAGTCAAACACAACTTTCTTTCACTTTTTAACATCATTACCGTTTGACCTGTTTGTACAAATAGCCTTTCAAATTATCTACCATGAAAACGCATAGCATAGAATAAGGAATATACTTATTCACTTTTAATTGTAAGCATTTTGTTTGTAAGATAATTTCACGTTTGTAAAGTACCGTACATATTACTTATATTTTCATATCAAAAATTCTAACACTGTTCTAATTATTGTTAGGCAAATATTCGTGAAGGAGCCTGTTGTAAAATCAAACTTAATGACCACCTTTCTATTTTGTTGGATTACGAATACAAGTTTAACTTATTCTTATAAGCTTATAAGCTCTTATAAGCTAATATATCTTATATTACAGTTGTCATAACATGTGGTGATAAAAAAATACAACTGTGTTTTATGTTGTATTTTCTCGTTTGTATACGTTAGAAGCAGACGAACATAATTTACATTTTGATGACACGGAAGCTCAAAGTAGTACAGTATCAGGAGGTTTTATTTTCCCGAATATTCGACAGGTGTACATCGTCTAACACGCTGACACAGTGAAGCTGTCACTGAATGTTAGACTTGTAAAATACTCAATAACTAGTTTATTCAACCAAAGTACTAAATACAGATTTGCATTATTCATGTCAAACAAAATATATCTTTACGTCTAAAATTAATACAATACTGTATAATCTTTTTCACAAGGGGCGAAATAAAGTTAAAAGTTTAGTAATTTTCAAGGAAATATCTAAAGTGTAAATATATTACTATACATTACGAAAATATAAACAGTCAATAATTTTTATTAGTTGCAGAGGTGTAGAGTATTTTTCACAACTTGGCATATATTAGGTGTGACTCTAAATATATTTTATGTTGACTATATTATGATTAGTTTAAATCAAGAGGTATTTATACTAACAAAAACAGCAAAAAATATAGGTCCATTAAATACTTAAATGGTGTTCACTTAAAATAAATTAGGACGATTAATAAATACATTTTTAGGCTATTTATTTCTAGTTTTGAAAATTGGAGATGGCCGTAATCCCGTGTAGTGTAATGATAGAATTAATTATCTTATTTTCGGTACTGTCTTATAAACTATTTTTATAAAGGGGGTACAGCAGGGGTTATCATTCGAAATTTTTGAGATGCTCCTAAGCCACCTTAGTTTCGGTTGAAGTTAATAATCTAAGAATTTTCCATTTCAGTATAAAAAAGCATACTGAGGTTAACAAATCTAACATTACAGTGCACTTGGGGGTACAGTGGTCTATTTAAACCTTCTGCATTCATACAGAAAATACATCTGGGTACTTTGCCTTGTTCAAAAAATATGAGCCACTGGAAAAAAAATGAATTAACATACAATACAATAAGCCTCAAAAGCAGAAGTAAAAAAAAAAAAAAACAATACTGTACAATAGTTTGGTCAAGATTTTTACTCTTGACAGTTTTAAGATAAAATTTGATACTTAGTGTAGTTTTAGTCAATATATTTAAAACTAGTTTACTCGAAAATAATAAGGTCCATTATGTTATCCTCAGAAGGTCATATCATTTTGTTTTATATGCTTATAAATGTCTGTTGTTCAACATTTTAGGTTCCTCCATTACACGATGAGGCCAATTTCCATTTAAACGCGAACCCAAAGTTACTGATTTATTTCCAAAAGAACATATCGCTTAAACTTTGTCCTAAGTAACAGATATTGTCTAACTTTGTGATGTATGGGTCCACGTTTAACGCAAAAATCAACCAAACGTCGTCGTATAGGAAACGTATAATCTGCTGTAAGGAAAGTTATGTCATGTTCCCCAAACAAAGGTTATTCATTACCATTATGTTCTCCCAATCTGTCACAGTAATCGTTTGTAAACATAACCTTCTCAAACTTAGGAGCTTCGTTTAATGTCAGTTAAAACATCAATGTTTACAATATAAATTCAATGTAATTTTAATAATTTATTTAAAAAGTAATATAAGTCGGACAAGATAAAAATACATTGTAACAAGAGACCATTTAACAAAATATAATTCCAATATATCATATTGCAATATCATTAATACATATTTACCTTTGATTTACTGTTACAACAACATTGTCCATTATAAAATGCTATTGATAAAACAGCTTTAAAGGACAATCACGCGTATTAAGTGAGATTTAATAACCTGTTTTGTAATACATTAATTATATTTCTGTGCACATCAATGAATTATTTCATAAAACCTTTGATTAAGGTCTTTCTAAGAAACCCTGATTTTAAGGGGATCGATTAACTCTGAGAAAAAGGTCAGCTGAGTGCTGACTCTTTACTGCAGTTTGACCTAAAGATCAGCATTACCACCCTTCGTTAACTTTTTAATCAAAGTCATGGTTTGTCAGGTTTCACTTTCATATAACATACTTTCCGTTTATCAAAATTGTATTTTAGTGTTAAATTATAGAGATTTTTCGGTTCATACAAGTTAATTAATTAATTAAAATACAACATTGGATTTTGTCAATCGAATTTAAAATTTTATATCATTATTTAACTAGAATATATATATATATATATCATTACTATATTTTACTAGAATTTGAATAATATAATTAACGACGTTACAACCCAAAATAATATCCCTAGGCAGAGTAGACGATACTAAAAATGATATCTTATATTTAACCTTTGACTATTAATACAACTTCTGTATCCAATAGTCAATGATTTAACTAAAATAATATTCGCATAATAATCCCAAAACCATTTATATCTTTAAATGAATGAATGGATTTAAAATTGGTTCCACTAATTAATAAATAGATAAAGGTCTTTATTGCTCAGTTGGTCGTAGTTAGCGTTACGTGGTATTATCATATGACGTTTAATCTCAGTCTATTGTAAGCTTATCTCCATTAGAATGTTATATTCATACGCAAGTCCTTTTTTTGTAAAAAAACTTCATTGATAATAGATTTGCATCATCTGTTCCATTTGTAGTTGTATTATTTACATGAGATAAAGGATTGGAAGGGGGTTTTGCAATGTCAATGAAAAAATTTTTTTTTACTGCTTCCCATAAAAGTCCGAATGTTTTAGAGATTTCAATTTGAAAACTAGATGA